GCAACTGTACTTGCTTGCACACACTCAACTCACTATACAGCGTACTGGGCTTGGGGTATCCACACATAAGTACTAAGGTTAACACGCGTGCTGCGATTTTCGTGCCTTCAGCAACTTCAATTCCTTCAGCAATCAACAAACCAATGCTTTTTGCGATCATTCCTACGCTTACCGTTTGCATCGTTCTCACTTTTCTTGCTTTTGACGTAGGCTCTTCATCTTGTTCTACCACATAATCTCCGCGGTAGCCTAGGATTCTAAGGTACTTAGCAATCTTGTCTCTACTCAATGCTTTCGTACCTAAGTCTGCAAGGTTCTCTGTACCCTTTATGGCCTTCACCAATACATCCTTCAATTTCTGGATCCAAAGCAAATTGACATCCATGTGTCTAGCTTTTCCAAGTCCTTTCCTTGAAATCAATTGTCTTGACGAACTCGGACTCCAGGGACTCCGGGGGCATGTCTTCCACGATCATGTACACCTCGCCGGCGCGGTGGTCGAAGTCCAAGAGGTCCTCGAACACGGTCAAGTCCTCGAAGGTGTCGCCGTCATAGTCGTTGCCACCGAAGTAGGTCTCGCAGTCGTCCTGGCCATCGTCCTCGTCGTCGTTCCAGGCTGACTCCCAGTACGTCCTGCTCTGGTTGTCATCCAACGAGTCTCCGAAGATCTTCCGGATAGCCAGCTCGACCTTTCGGAAGTCAATGCTGCCATCAGTCAGCCCTCGAATGCGCTGCTGCTGATCCAGGGTGAAGCCGCCCTGCTTGAGCAACAGATGTCCTAAGAGGTGGTTCCCGGCATCTGTGGCAAGCATGTCCAGGCCTTGCTTCTTTCAACTCGGCAAAGGCAGCCTTCTTGGTCGCCAGGAAGCCCGTCAAGGTTTGTCCCGGCCACCGCCTGCCACGGAAGATTGCTGCATCAAAGGCTTGCTCCAGGCGGGCTTCTTTCAAGTAGGCATGAGTCTCCTCGATGACCCCTATGATCTGTTTGTGCCCGTCAGGGGCCGTGATGTCATCAACACTCAGGTGGGCAAGCGTAACAGCCAGCCTGCTTCCAAAAGGAATGGCGTCCAGGATGCGCTTGCCGATCAAGTTCGGAGGCAGTCTGGCCTCCGCCTCGATGCCCTGTACTCATTCTCTGGGCGCTCTCCGTTCCAGCCAGGCGCTGGATCCATTTTGTAGTCGACGAACTTTCTCGTCGATTGCCCTTCCGAGCCGTCAAGTCCTCCTTGTCCATAAAGTGGAGTGGTAGGGGCCGTCGGAGATCGCGGCCGCAGTGGTGAGCCATCGCCTCGAAAAGGTCGAGGTCGCTCCAAATCCGTAGCCATCCCAATGACTTATCAAAATCTCTTGCTTGCCGTCAAGCCGTCGTCAACAAACTTGACGTTCCAAAAGTTTCCAGTCCCCACTCGACTGGTCCAACAAAGGCCGGCAGGCCAGCGCCAAGGATCAAGTAGTTCAGGTCATTGTTCCAGAAGAAGTCGCGAATCTCTTTCCCGGAGGGTAGGATCAGCGCCAGGTCGCGGAAGTCGCGAAGAACCGCCCCGGAGCCGTCGACGCGTCCGCCAAAGCCACGGAGGAAACCAAGGAGCCCAGGGTCAGAACCGAGGGCTCCGCTACCATGCGTAGCTATGCAGAGCGCGGCGAGCTATTGGGCTCTTTTCCTTGCTTGGGACTCAAGGCGCCTGTGGTCACGGAAAGGTCAAGCTCATGCTTCCAGCTTGCCATGCTGATTATTCCGGCATGTCCTACCTTTGCACACTGCAGCTCTGGCTACACATGATGTTGGTTACGCAATGGCTAATCCCCCCGAATCGCAAGAATGCTTCACGGCCTCTAGACTCATGAAATTGCCCACCTTGTCTTTCCTAGTTCATGACTTTATAACATTGGATAACAAGCGTGCTTTTCTACCAAAGAGGCCTCATTCCAGCAGAAGTCTGGGCTCAGAGTGCTAAGGCTTCAGCCTTCTGGCGGCTTCTTGGCACTGTCTTGCGCCGGCGCTTGATAAAGTCCTACGCACTCACACCACCAAATCGCCAAAATGTGCTAAGCCACGTTCACACCATGACCAACAGTCCTCAGCTGGGGCTTCTCCAGAAGCAATCCTGACCCCTTGGCTGTTGAGATGTTACGCTGAAAATCCAACTGGTACAGAAAAAGGGACTCGTTGCCTCTGAGGTTCCCTGCTTGGAGACAAACTCGGCTGCCAACCCGAGAAGCCTCTAGATGTACAGCTCTTGTGGGTTTTGGCTAGGGGCCATGTTTTGCTTGAGGCTTTGACCCCGCATCCCTTGCGAAAGCAGCGCGATTTCGCTCCTTGGGCACCAATTTCGCCAGGCCACGCGCCAGCGCCAACCGGTGGTCCTCCAAGCCCAGGGTGTCGGGGAGGTCGTACGAGTACTCGGCAAGGCCCTGAGGTGCTCGTTCAACGAGACCGGGCTGCACCATCGTTGAACAAAGCTCAAAGCCGTCTCGGGGCGAGCAACACGAAGCGGCGCACCTCAAGCGCACACTGCAAAGCCTGAATGGAACAACAGCGTTTCAGCGGGACCTGCAGCTGGCAGCGGAGCTAAAGAGGCTGTCAGCACCTCTGCTAGCATGAAAGCAACACAACAGCAAAAGCAGCAGATCTTCACCGTGCGCCCAGCCAGGGCACGGCGGGGGAGGCGACCAAAGCCCTCCCCACCTCAAATTCTCAGGCTCATCAGTCTCGGCATGTTCTTCTTGCGCTTATGTCAATCCAAGCCACTTAGAAAGCTCAAGTTGCGGCCGAAAAGGGCAAGTCCAGCAAAGCAGAAGGCCTCAGGAAAGCACGTTCTGACAAGCTCTGAAGAGCTTACCTTTGTGTGGCTCACCATCTCCATCCAGCTTCTTCTGCGACCCATGGCGCCCGCCCGGACACGTGGCAAGACAATGTGAAAAGAAGGCATTTAAAACGCTACACTTTGGCCGTCTCAGACATGCAGGTATGCTCATCTTTGCTCTTGACAACAAGAAATGGCTATGCAGGAGCCCAACAACCCAAAATCATCCAAAGGCACGTTATCAAAGTGAAAACAAACTAGGCCGAGCCGGGCCGAGCCGGGCCGAGCCGGGCCTGGTCCTGATAATCGATGCTCTCCGCATCTTTGATGACCTTGAAGCCAAGGCCTGCAAAAAAAGATCGCAGAAATTCGGGACCGAATAGTAGCCGCGCCTTTGTAATAACGGACGAGACGCTCCTTGCAATTGCGTGCAGACACATGCACCCAGCTTACATACCCTTGGCCGAGCACATGCTGCTTGTCTTCATCATAGATGGCCAGCAGGAATGCCTCAGAGACGTTGCAAGCCGTCAGGCTGGTGACTAGGACTAGGATGCTTGGCCATCAGATGCCTCCTTGCAGAAGAAGGGAGATCTTTCCCTGTTCCAGCCTCAATCGGCTAGGAAGTCCTCCAAAAACTACTACTGCTTTGGCTGCAAGATGCTGGCAGGCAATGGCCATGGAGAGCAGTAAGCCAAACCATCGTGCTACCTGCCAAGGCGGGGCAGGCGTGATCAGCTCAGATGTGGGGAGGAAGAGCACTCTTTTGACCTTGGCAATGTCAGCGTAGCGCTTCTTCTCCTCAAAGCGAAGATCGAAGCAAAGTAAATGATCCAACCATGGAAATTCCAAACCAAGAATTCTCAATTCTCAATCACACTCCCCCCACCCCAGAGGAGTCCTCCGCCTCCACTGCTGCCTGATCTGCCTCTGCCTGCTCGGGTTCCTTGGCCTCTCCCCTGACGAAGATCTAACTTGAAAATTCATGACTTTTTAGAAACAGCAAAACTCCCCGTTGCCTTGCGGGCTTCGCCACCCAGTAGCCTGTGAACTTTCGCACCTGGCACTGCTCACCTACAGGGCCTGCGATGCTCTTGTGGCTATTCAAAGCTTCAGCCCTTCATGAGATAGTGGGATCCAGAAAGCACTCTGGGCAGCTCGGAAGCCAAGAGGTGCACAATATTGAAGACGTGAGCGCTGCACTCTTCTTGCGCCATGTTTGACTGTGCTCCTAAGTTGTCTTTTTGCCTGCACCTTGCCTGCAGGAATCCTCCTGTCTGATTCAAGACTCTGCCTTGGAAGATACTTGAAGGACAGCCAGATCCTTGATTGTCAGTCCTCCCACCCTTGACCTTCTTGTCAGACTTAGAAACCGAGGATGTGAGGCCTCGATCGTCTCCAGGTGCAGGCTGCCCTGAACAAAAAATCTCTGAAGCAGCTTTGTTTAATGCAAACCAACTGCCTCAAAAACAGACTGCAGACAAACAACTCGCCAAGAAACAGAAGCATTCTAGGCAAAGAGCGTCGCAGCTCAGGGACCGACCCAAGGCTGGGCCCAACCGCTGGTTTTACCCAGCTGACGATCTCCGCTCCAAAGCTCAATCTGGTACCTTTGCCGCCCCCATTTCAAATTGCGAATACATTGCTATTAGTTGTTGCTGTTGGGACTGTCTTGGACTAAGTACCTTGCCAAGGCCCTGCGACGTTTTCCCGAAGCTCAACGTTCAAACGCTTTGCTGCCCGTTTCAGCTCTTCGGTCGTCAGTACCTTAGACACGCCGTGCAGGGAACTCTAGGGAACTCTAGAGAACTTGAGAATGCTGTTGCTCAGCTGCCCTTGCAACGCACCCGTTTTGCTGTGGTTGGTCGGTAGGATCACTAAGCGGTCAGAGCCCTCTTGATCGCCTGCCAAATGCCAGCAACGAACTTGCAGCTTGCATGGCTTGACTCTCCGCCCTTCAACTGCACGATTTGCAACAAAGCAAAGTTTGCGTGTAATCCGTGCATGCATTCGCAGCCAGCTTCAATGCGCTTTCCTGCAAAAACACGTGAAAACTCTCTGAAACGAAGAGGCAAACCTGCTCGGCATCGGCGCAGCCTCTCTCCTGGAAGCACTCAGAGTTATGCTTCAGCAGCCAACTGCTTTTGCACGGCCTCTGCCACCTGTAGCGCCGTCTGGTTCTCGAATTTAAAGCTGAAGGCCACCACGTGGGCCTCTATAGAAGGGAGGCATAGATCACACAACTTTAAGCTCCTGCCCTGCCTCCACAAAGGCCGGATGCTCCAGTATGGCTGTGCAAACTGCACCTGGATCAAAGCAAGCTTGAGGAATTCAGCAATTAGGCCCTGTAGGACTCTTTGGAGCCCGACCAAGGTTCGATGCAGCCGCCCAGTGTAGCGCCGTGGCTCCCCACTTGTCCTGGCGCGCGACAAATACATATTTCTTGGCAAGAGGTGGCACTCGAGACAGGAACTGCAAAGGCCTTGGAGTTTACCTGCGTGAACTCTGGGTGGTCCAGGACGGCCTTGCACACGCCCACCATCCCATTCGAGGCGGCCAGGGAGAGGATGGTGTAGCCGAACTTGGGACGAGATTATAGAAAGCTGGCAAACTATGAAGGCCAGAACCTGATCCACAGCATTCACTTCGGTGAAGTCGTCCCGGTTCAGGATGCTCAGTGGGATATCCTGGCGCTGACATTTGTTGAACACGCGAGCAGCACCTTTCGTGCGGCGGAGCAACCCGGATAAGGGTGCTAATTCATGGCTTTCTGGGCAGTGCCCAGATTTACCAACGTGTTGGCCACACCTCAGGTCTTCACCCTGGCTGAGAGGTTTCGTGCTCAGAGCTGTGCTGTAAGCCCTTCGCTCACTTCGCGTGCTAATTCTGTCAAGCAGGTTTCGGCTGCAACATGCAGGGACGTCCAGCCCATATGGGCTCTCGTTGCTCCCTTGGCTACGAGACACACCTGTCGAGACACATCCGAGCGCAGTCGACACACAGCGCGTCAAATTGGAAGGGCAGACGTGTGACTCACGTACGAGTCATGTTGGCGCAGCCCTGGCTTCGCAACGCCAAGAATCGTCATGAGTCATGGGAGATAGTCAGTCAAGCCTCTAGGATCCTAAGACAACACAGTCACTTCCCACCCAACGGGCAAGCACGACCAAAATAACCACGTCTTGCTTCGAAACCTGGCCTCTTCAACACAGTTCTCAATAGCACATGAAACATCCACCGGTCAGATCCTGTTGCATGAATGGATTTGTGGCAACGTTGGCAACTCCTCCGGCATCTTTTTCAAGATGCAGATGTGAACAGCAGTTCTTTGTTCAGAATCCTGCACCCATGTTTGCGATAAAGGAAGTCACGCACATCTGTTCTTGCGTCCTTGTCATCCATTCGGTTGAAGTCCTGCTTGGGTGCATTGATGGAATCTTTGAAACAATGTCATACAGAACTCTCGTCTGGATGTATGCATGTGGAATGGACATCTCTTACCCCGAGCCCAGAAGCCGTACCTTGTGGGCCAGCAGGGCCCTGCATTTCTTTTCGTTCTTCTGGGCGGCCGCTGCTATGAAGACCCCAGGCTCCTGAGCTCAGCAGAGCCACACAAGCTCAGAAACCTAGTTCTCTCGTGTTCTCCCTTTTTCTGCAACTTGTGCCTGGACTTCTTGACTGGTCAACACAGGGAGGTCCTGGTCCAGCAAAGGATGTGACACCAACAAGGAAACATGTTTATGCAGTCTGGCCTGCATAGATGGCTTGCTGCCTTTGAGCAATCCTTTGCCACCTTTCGGTGGGAAGCCTTTGCCCTTGCCACGTGACCGAGAGGGCACAATGCCAACACCGGTTGCTGGAGTGCCCGGCACTGGTGTGCCCGGCAGCCCTAGGAGTGACTCCAGACCCGGCACGGACGCCAAGCTCTCAAGGCCTGGGATGTTGGCCAAGCCACTGAGTGATCCCGGTGCCAGCCCGAGGCTTGCCAGGGCAGATGCCAAGGCAGCATCACCACTTGGCACAGTTGTCGAAGCTGGGGCAGCTGCGGCAGCTGGGGCAGCTGGGGCCGTCGGGATCGCTGGCGCAGCTGCTACAGCTGGCCCTGCTGTTTGGGCACCATAGCCAAGCTGTCCTAAAGCTGCAGCTGCCGCAGCCACCGCAGCAGCCCAGCCTCAGGAAATGCTTGCTTGCAGGCATATTGCTGAGATCGTGCTAGTACAAAGCAAGTTTGCTTCTACTGCCGACATCTTGACGAGACCCTACCAAGGAATTTGTATGCTCACAATCTCTTAGGCCCTGACCATCGTTTGCTGGAGGGGTTGCCACCGGCTGTGTCAAAGCTGGCGCTAGCATGGGAAGGCCAGTCGTTTGTTGGACTGGCACCGTCGGCATTGGCACTGTTGACACTGGCAAAGGTTGCAGCAAGGGCTGCCCGGGCAGCGCGCCCGGCCAGGAAGTTACTGGAAAGCTCAGCCCAGGAAATGCCGGAACGGTCGGTGCGTGAGCAAAGGCTGCTGCACCTCACAAATGCAACATGTGGATTTGCCTGGAGCTAACGAACCAGGTATCCAGCACCCGGCCTGTGCCAACAGGCGGCCCTGGAGGGTAAGGAGCCACACCTGCTGCAGCCTGAGCTCTTTACTTTCGCTGGGATGTAAATTTGTTCCGCACAATCTGAGCTCAGCACCCCAGGAGGCCGTGGAGCAGCCCCGTACCCAGACATGGCGAAAGCGAATTCTTTCCCACAAAGATTCAGACTGGATTTTATGCTGTTCATATGTCGGTGGTCCGAACGAAAGGTGGCAGTAACTATCCTGGTTTTGTCTTCTACCTGAATTTGCTGCCCAGCGCACACACTTGTCCGAAGGTCACACTATTGGAGGCCCATGCCAAGCTGTTGTTGCCGCTGCGGGCATCTGACTGGGTTCCTGGCATCTTCATTGGTGCTCTCTTTGGGCACCTGGCGATACTGCGGGGTCTTGCAACATTTGAAGATTGCCAACTCAGCTTTCGCATCTCACCTTGGATGTTGGCGCAGGTTGGGAAAAGCATGGCAACGGCAGAAGCCTTGTCGGCAAAGTCATGTGAAAGGACTTCCCGATCTAAACGTTGTTTGGCTGCGCGGCCTCTCAAACGCGAGAACAGCAGCAGCCACGCCGGAGAAGGCACATATTCGCCTTCACACGGGTCGCTTCAACCACTTCTTTCTGGCGAGTGTTGTCACTCTTCCAATTGAAACCCCGTGAAACAGAAACAACAGCGAATCAGAGCGCCACTTTTCTTAGCCCTGGCTGTTTTCCACGGCCTCAACGAGCTTCGTGGAACCATAGGAAAAATTTTGCGGGAAACCTTCGTGGAGGGTTTGAGTGGCGCTTTCCCAATCCGCGCGCAATCTACAAACGGCTAATGTCTAACCAATGGGAATGCGGTGATTGAGGACAATACTTTTTGAAAAGCGAAACATCTCAGGAGCTGCCTTCATGTCTGGGCCCAATGGATTTGTGCCACAACGCCTGTCCATATTATACTATAAACTATAACGTAATTGCAACACATCCATCTGTGCCAAACGCTGCGCTAACCACGAACAATCTCGCAAATTGATGAAAAATCTTTGAGTGTTAACTGATCGCTCAACCAACAACTCATATAAAAAAAGCACACCTCCAAATTCCACAGTGGTGGGCTCCGGTCTCAAGTTTTTTCCGCATTTTTTCCATTTTGTTTTGTTTTTTTTTGTCCGGTTCCTCTTGCTGTTGCTATTCATTAGATTAGTAACACTAGCAGGAATGGTAATAGGTGGCTCGTTTTTTTGGTCTTCGAACGTTCCACGTGCTGTAAATTACAGCGTTGGCTCGTCTTGGAACGTGTCAAATGCTGCAAATTACACCACGTGCTGGTTTTGGACAGCTTCAAATGATGCAAATTAC